TTTTATTTTATTTTATTTTATTATTTTTTTATTTATTTAATTCTACGCTGCCCAACTCCAGTCGACTCTGGATGGCTCACAGCATACAACAAGTCATCCGAATACTATGATGCAATAAAATATATAGCAATAAACTTGTTGAGGGCTTTTCCATAAACATCTGACTGGCCAACATAGGAAACAAGATATTGGAATAGGTAGTCTGATAAAGAAAGGCTATTCCTGTGTGCCTAGAGGGGAATGCAATATGATGGGATCATTACATTCTGGGTGGACTTTTGAATAAATTAAGATAAAACCATCTCCTCCTAATAAAGGGCTGCTATTGTCAAGCCAAAGTCTTGTATGCTTTAATATTTAGAAATTGTTAGTCTCAAAAATATATAAATGAAATAAGTAGTTATTTTTATTTCCAGAAGCTTTTCCTAGTAATAAAGAACACCATCTTTCACATAAATGTTGATTATGTGCCATCAAGTTGTTCTCAACACCTAGCAACCACATAAATTTTAACATAAATAAGTTGTTTTTTATTATTTTAAACACCCTTCCAATTCATCATTATAACTACCTTACCTTGAAGCTCACTCTTAAATGCAGATGTCATAATTCAATTAAGAATTTTTTTCCCAACCTGATGATACATTAGAAATGTCTGCAGAGATTTCTATTATCAAACTGAAGAAAATAGGCTTAGATCAATATCTACTGATCTTTTATATTAAAGAGACAGAGAGATAGTCATTATTAATGGGGTGTCCTGAAGGGATCAAAAAGTCAAGATGGCAGCCACAACCATGTGATTGAAGCCCTCTGATGCATGGAAAAAAGGGGGAAGACTTCATTCACCTTGTTGTAGCCACTGTCTCTTAATGTTTGGATGCGCTGCAGACAACCATGATTACTGCTGAAAATCTAAATGTTAAAAATATCCTTTTAACATTCAAACTACAATCTATTTTGCCTCATGCATTCATCACCCCACCTTTGAAAGTGCATCCTGCATTGTAGTTGGGCTGATAGCTGAACTCCAAAAAAGGAATTATATTTTGAATAGTTAGTTCAACTATCCCAATATTCAATTGTGTTATCATGGGTCAAAGACACTAAGAAACAGAATGTCAAATGAGCATATCAATCCAAAGTCTGCAATTCCTTTTGCCAATAAAATGTTTGAGGGGAGAGGAAGGTGAATGTGTGTGTGTGTGTGTGTAGATCATTCTTTTCTCACTATAAAGAAGGCAGGAGGTCTTTCCACCCCACCCCCCCAGCTAGTTTAGGAGTAGACAGACGAAATGCCAAGTGGCTGACATAAATAGCATCGGTTGCAGTCACACTGACTCCTATAAATAACGTCTTCCTCTTGTATTATTCTTCCTGATCTTATTTTGTTTGGAGGTAAAAGTTGATATTTAATTTCAGAAAAAACACATGATTCAATCTCCCAGTGAATATAATAGTTCATAATTCGGGGGGGGGGGAGGGGGCTAATTTGAATGTTTAACCCTCTGTGTTTTTTAAAAGAAAATGAGCATATTAGAAATAATTATTTTTTATTTGTCACAGTTTAGATGTTACATCAAACCCCAGTTCCTTCAGCACTGTACAAATCCATTATTACTTATAGTGTATGTACTATGTTTTATACTGTAACAATAATCTTAGAAAACTAGCAGCATAATAGAGATCATGATGATCATCACTATCATAATATTCAGTAAACGCTCATGGTTTCTAAGTTTTCTAGGGAAATAAAATGATCTTTACTTGGTCAAGAAAGATTATATATCAACACTATACACTAGGTAACCTGTTTGGAAAAGGCATTTCCACAAATGGGGCACTCTATTGACCAAGCATTTCTTTTAAGGCCATCTGCTGTTCCTCCCTTATCTACTGTCTTCGATAAAGAGAGTTGAGTCCAGCAAGTAAATGCAGGAGAGCATACTCTTTCATAGAAACTGTCCCCAAGCTCCCATTCCAATTTTGAATGACATTATTTCAACATGGTTTATCAGATGTTGTTACTGGAT